CGGCCACCAAATCCGCAAAATAAATACCTCTTCAAGTGAAAAAATTAATCAACACATATGTTTGTTGTTGCGCAAGGAGTTAAATCAAAGCCTTGGTTGCGCGAATTGAAGCTGAATTTGAAGAAAACAATCGAAAGGTGCACGGTGTATGCGCCAAATAGCATTCTTTCAATGGCCATTTCACTGACGAGTGCGGCCGTTTCCGGCACTCTGACTTCAAGAGCGACGATAATCTCCTCATCTCTCATCTCTGATTTCATTTGACTGGTACGTCAAAAAACTGTTGAGTATGGGGACCGAATCGGAAAAAACTCTCCACCAAAGGAAAGGCTACGAGAACCACTCGACTGTAGACTATTTCCGTGTGCCAATTTTTTCGCCAACGGTTCACACCCACCTTGATGTGAAACACATATAGTGATCCGGAACTCATTCGAAAACGAATAAATGAGTAGTGTTGTCATTTTCGGTGAAGGTTATTCTGGCCAATGCACGGAATAAACGTGGCGCGGCGGCATTTTAAAAGCGGCCCATTTGACGACGAGTCCGCGAGACTGTCACACCGAGACGAACTATCAAAGAGACAGAATGCTCTCCCTTCACTCGCGCATGAACGGAGTAAAATAAATCTGATTTCAATCGACAAATTTTTTCAAAGGCCTAAAGTATTTAAAACATCTTTTTAGTTGAAATAAACAACTTACGAAACTCCGAATTAATTTAATTATAACTTAATAAAGTATTGTCATAAGGTAAATTAAAATTAAACATTTCATTAACACTATATTAACATGAATATAAATTAAAAACATAAGTGTAAAAGGCAAAAAAAAATATAATATATACATAATATATATTCCCTAGCTAAATAATAAATTTTAAGGAATTTATAACCAAACATAAATAGTTATAAGCACAATCTAATTATACTGGATAGACTTTTGAATTAAAGTTGACCGATATAATGACCGAATACGTTAGAACGACGCAATCGAAGTGGATAGAATTCCCGACTGATGAACTTTGGTTGGATTTGTGAAACTAAAACAATGGCAATAGCCAGTTATAGAGGAAAACTTAATGAAGAATTAAATTAGTTATATTCTTAAGAAGTAGTGACGACAAAAATTTGAAGTATTAAGAAATATTATACAATATTAGAATTATCATTATACAATATTTCTCACCGAATAATTAGAGATTTTATCTAAAGGTTATAAATTAGAATAGTTATTTATATAAATGAGAGAACCTAAATATATATGCTATATAACAAGTGAATTAAATGACTGGTAGCCAAAATAAATAAACGAATGTGAAATATAAGTTTTTGAATTAAAATTCTTATTTAGAATTTTCTTGTTTATTTTAAAGGTTTATAAAATACTCTCTCTCGCTCTCTATTAAAGGTGTTTATATAACTCACAAAATGTGCGGAGGACTGGAAGAAGCACACTGTGGTAAAAGGCAAGTCCTTGTTGAGTACCAAAGACGCAAGTGAAAACTTGTAATAGTATCTTGTGTGAAGTTATCAGCGTGGTTAATATATGTCGTTACATCGCGCTTGACCATTCATGCTACTTTCTACGCGTCTAAATGTTACATATTGCTGTTACTTAATTTTTAGTTGGCTCCAGTATTATTGATGCCCTTATTTAGTTGATATAAAAATCTCCGCTTGTTATTGTGCTATGACATACTTATGCCTCCTGCTTAGTGCTATCGGAAATTGAGGATGAAGTGGATTTCCCTGCTCTCTAACACATGGGGTTTAGTGGAGGGACGAGATATCTCATGTTTATGGATTCCCTAAATATGATCATGAGTAATTGGAGTATTTCGACCGATTCGGTCAGGCGGGAAAATGGGAGACCGGGACCCCCGTGTGCCCTGATGAATGATGTGATTGTAAGAGAACAACCCACCTCAGGATGTTGCCTCGTTTGTTGATTAGCGAACCTGATAATCTAGATTTTGATTCTATAAGCCGAGCAGGTCGTGGCCTACCTTGTTAGTGAGCACTGATGAATCTTCAGATTTGGATCTGGAGAACCACCGGGTTGCCCCTCCTGTTGGTTGAACAGGCAGAGAGAATCGAAAAAAAAAGATACTATTGCGACGCAAGGACTGGTCCAGTGAGGATACTCCAGCAGCTAGACCCAGTTTTGGGTCTCCACCAGATTATGGGTGCACTCGATGTCTCGTGGTGTCACGCAATTGTATGAGAGGAGGGCAGCCATGTTGGATCGATTGAAGGCACGGATTCCTGTTGGGGTCGGACTTTCAGGGTTTGTGTAGAGTGTGCCAGTGCAATTAATTTCCACGTGGAGATGTGTTTCTCACTTAATGTGGAAGGTTTTGTCATTAATAACTGTGATTGCTGTTTATTGCCATTTGATGTGACAAATTGCATGATCATATACATTAAATGGTGTCCAATTAGAAACTATCTTTAGCATCTGTGTTAATTGTATACGTGTTGGCGTGATGCAGGCTCTCATCGTAACCCTACTCAATTTTGCAGCTTGGCGCTGCACCCGACTGCCCTACTATTTTCTTTTCAGGTAATAAAAGAAGAAAGCCCCCTATGGAAGTGATTGGAAATTACCCGATGCTATAGAAGTGATTGTCAAGTGACCCAGAAATAAATTAACTTCGTAATCTAATAACGTAGAGGCATTCCCGCTAGTATGTATTCCAGTTGGGTTGTAAGTTCGCATCAATTGAGACATAGGTTCCAGACTCTTAATAATATAGAAACTGGCTAGTTATTGGATCATGCATATGTTCCACCCGCCTCATAATAGTTCACATGGGCCTTAAGTTCCTGCATTTGGGTTCCGCATGATTAGAATTGGACCTTAATGAGGTCGTTAGGGTATGGCGAACTTTACGCTGGTCTCATGTCGGGCCCTTAAATCCTATTTCTTTTGCCAAACCACTATTTTTGAAACATTTTGTAGTTTGATAGGATGGTCCTCATTTCATGTGTTTAGCCACTTTTGTCCACTTCAGTCACATTTAGAGTAATTGGGTTCATGTGTAATGTGGAACTTAAATGAGTTAGGCTTACTACGGGCTTCGGGGGCCTTAAGCCCACCCAGGTCCTAGTGCCGGTCCGGTCCATGGAAATGGGTCGTGACAATAATAATAGGAAATTTTTAAATTTTCAAATGCTTAATTATCCATATGTATTTATCTATTAAAAAAAAAGTTAAAAATACATCCAATTAAATTATATATATTCTTATGTTAAAATTTTTTTAATTGGCTATGACCAAGATTATTTTAGAGTATCCTAAATTTTATAAGAATAATATAAGAAATCTCATTATTCCCTCCTTAATTTCCACTTTTATATATAGTATAGATTATAGATCATAAATAAATAGATTTATATAATTTAAAAACTTTTTTTTTGAAAAGCATATAATTTAAAAACTTGCTATAGTTTAGCAAACCATAATCAAGCCTAATAAATTTGATTATAGTATTATGCTTACCAAACATAACATTAATTTATAAAGAAATCATTTCACATTCAAAAGTGAAAATGGTATTTTTATAATATTTAAATTTAATCTTGTCTTTTAATATCCTACCTGGAAAGAAGCTGCAATTTGCACTTTAAACTTGGACTAAAAATACAAGTTATCCATTTTTGACATTTAAAAAAAAAACATTTAAAAAAAAAACATCACCTTGCCAAAAAAAAAAAAAAAAAAAAAAAAAAAAGTATAAATCTAAAAAAAAAAAAATACAATTTTATCAAATTTAATCCATTTTTTCTTTTAAATACGCATTTTTTTTTCCCCATGATCCAATAAATCCAAAAAAAAAAAAAAATACAATTTATCAATTTATCCATTTTTTTTTTAAATACCCATTTTTTTTTCCATGATCCAATAAATCTAAAAGAGAGTGAGTTTCATTTAGCAAGGGCACTAGTTCTCCCTTAGCTCTTCACTATACCTCAGAACCAACAAGTTGTTGAGATCACGCAATTACTCTTTCATTTCATGCTAAACATAAAACCCAAGTCTTGAAAATGATAGTGAAGCCAGTACAATACATAAAGCTAACAAAATCCAGTTCAATTTTCTTACAATACCCATAATCTAATCTCCACTTCTCTGCCGATGAAATTCGTCCTTGCTATAGCAGCAGCAAAAGGCTAGCCATAAAAAGAAAACCTAGAAAAAAAGTACCACTACAAACCTTAACCTCAAACCAACTTAAACAATGGTCTAAAGATCTCCCAGTTGTATCTAATCGAATACCGAATACTGAAATACAAGTTGCTATAAGATGAACGAAATCAATGGAGGGGAATTTTGAGTTTGATGGAGGATTTGATTTTTAGGGATTTTATCCCTTTCTGGAGACTAGCGTTCCAATTCACAAAAAAAAATTCAGTATTAATTTTTAATCAAGGTTGGCAGCGTATTGTTCATGCACTCCACTAAGCTAAAAAATGAGAATTTCATATTTTTGTTGCCAAGGTCATGGGTTTTTTGGTTGAAAAAAGTTTTAAAATGGTAAATTGAATTTTTAGCGCAAGGTTAAGGAACATTTTGAATCTTCTTCATATCCTAAAACCACAAAACGAAGTTACTAAACCTGAATTGGAAAACCCTTAATGCACTTTACCTAAGGGTACTGACCTGAAAGAAGCATTTAATTGTGAAACTCAATTTTGACAATAGTTGATTTTTAGGAAACAAATTTTAAAAAGAAAAATAATTTTTGAAAAGATCAAATAATCTTGTTTGAATGAAAATGAAATTTTTCTAGAAAAGTACAGCAATTAAGAATGTTTATTTTTTTTTAAAAAAAAATCGTGTAGGAACTCAAAAATCTAATTAACTCAAATTAAAAGAAAAGAACTCAATTGACCAAAATGTGCAAACAAAACCTCTTGAGTTAAAGGGGCAAAAAGAGATTTCCCTCCAAGAACTCTACAGAAGCCATCCATAAGCTTGCATAATACCATAGCAAAATTTCCCACCAAAGCAACCAAGCATTCAAACTTGAAATATAACAGCATCAACTTGCACATAAAGAAATTACTTAGCAGGGGTACCACACTTTAGCTCTAGACATTTGAAACAATCTCCAAAGAATAACACTTGATAAGATTAATGCCCTTCATCCCCACAACAGCTAAAAAGACAAATGGTACATAAAATTTACTGGGAAAATATCAAAACTAACTGGTCTTGAAAGACAAAAATAGAAAAATAGCTCTGTTACAAAAAAATAACACCAGGAATGCAATCTGCTCAGTGATCACCAGGCAGGCTCTTGATGATATCAGAATCACCTGCAAAACAGAAATGGTATTCATTCAAATGTCAGAGAATCAATCTCATCACGTAAAACAAGGTTAAAACTAAAATTTCAACATGATATTTATTACCTGGATCAATAATGCTCAAGCAAGAAACGCGGAAATATTTGCCACAAGCAGTTCCCAAGTCTACATTGTCTGGAGAACCATGTAGATGAAGATATCAGTCTAAAAGTAATACTCACTGATTAAGAATATACCATTCATATAAGGGAGAACTTGAGATCAGCGGCCCATTATGAAACATAGTGTTATATGAAAAAAATGCACAAATAAAATAAAAAAAATGGCATAGATGAAATACAATGCAATTGCAGATGGCATTCCTAATCTCCCTACACTTGCCAAAAGAAGAGATGATGCAATCATTCCTTTCTTGTAAATGATTTTATAGTCTGTACATGGGTTGAAATCCCTTGATTATTTTTGGTGGATTTTTCATTTTATCTTTATGTGTTAAAGAAATTAACTGAAAAGGCCCAAGCATCCACAACCTAGTTTTGATAATAAGCTTCGCTTTCAAAGATGTTCTACACATCCAATAAAGAGTCCTTCAAAATATGCCTAAAAATGGATAAAAGAAATCTAAACAAACATAGTGTATATACTTATACAATGTAACTATGCAACAAACACATAACACTGCATGAAAAAGACACTGAATTCCAGCAAATAAAACCCGGCAGACCCCAAAAATTCTGAAAAAACAGGCTGTTAACTTCACTTCTGAATAAGTAACTATTTTCTTTAACCAAACAATATAAACTTCAGTAATCAATGAATAATGAAGCTGATGAAAGATGAAATCTCACTTACATACCTCAAACAGAACATATGCAATTAAAATCTAAAATGTATGCAAGTAATATCTAAAAGGGAATAATATAAGCAGAAAATAAGCGATTACCGATCTAAAAGGCAATGAAGGGAACGATATTTATTCTAACAAGTACAATGCACGTTCTTATATTCACACACAAACATTATTCTCATAGTTTCTACCATCAAACGAATAACCAGAATCTAGAGCTAATAAAATCTAGCTGCAAAGATTAAAGACCCAGTGAAAGTGAAAAACTTAGAACTTACTTCCATTATAATGGTGGACTCCAACCTTAGAAAGCATGGCATAGTACTCAATCTCAGACTTTCTCAATGGTGGGCAATTGTTTGAAATTAGAATCAATTTACCTACTCAAAAACCGCCGCAACAATTAAAATAAAATAAAATCAAAACAAAAAAAAATGAAAACCATAACTTAAAAAAACAAAATTAAGAAGTTCACCTTTGGAGGACCTGAGAGAGCGAAGCACAGTTTTGTAACCGAGAGTGTACTTTCCACTCTTCATAACGAGAGCTAATCTGTTATTGATGCTCTCATGGGTCTTCTTCTGTAATATCACCAAAAATAATATAAATCACAAATCTAAATTAGATTTTAAGAAAAGATGAATATGAAATGATGGAAATGGGGAAAACGAAGAGAAGGACGTACTGTTTTCTTTCCAGAAACCATTTTTCTGAAAAATTTCTTGGCCGATTAGGGTTTTCTCCGTGAGAGCGGTGGAGCTGAAAAACCTGCAATTATCGGCTGCTAATAACCGGATAGGGTTTCGTTCTTCAGAAATCGGAAGATAAACAAATATTAGGGTTTTTGAGTGGGTACACCGAATGTTTATAAACTTAACCCGGGCCCAATCCATCTTTAACAGTAGCCCTAAACTGTGGCGGGTTGGGTTGGGCCGAAGAATATAATCTTTTAATTTAATCCCGAGCAACATTTTTAATGGAAAATGGCATTTTGCTTTTGTCTCAACTTTAGGGACTTTGAACTTCACCAGCATTAAAATTAATCAGGGAAAAATATATTGGTTTGAATTTAACGGTTCTCAATTTTTTTTGTCTAACTTTTTGATTAATTAAAGTTTGAACTAAAATTTATTTTTTAATCAAGTACATTTAACTTAAATATTTTCCAATTATCAAAATTATTAGTTATTTTTTGACCACCTTACGATGCTTATAATTCATGCTTCCTAATGCATATAGTTTGATTTAGTAATGATGTTAGTCCTAAATTTTATTTTTTGGTAGTAGGAGGTATTTTTTTTCACTTTTTAAGTATGGATTAATTCTCCTTTAAAGATTCTCTGAAATTGTATTCTTAATCTTATAAGATGAAAGCCACCTACGATCTAGATGAATGCATTGTTGGTTCCACGTAATTCTTTTTTCTTTTTGCACATGGTTTTGTCATTAATAATGCTCCTTCCATCCTATTTTATTTTATTTGTTTATCATTCCTTTTTTAGATGCCCTAAAATATTTACAAGATTTCTAAATTTAAATATATAAATAATTATTTTTCTCATAATAATCTTTATGATTGTTTATTAAATGAAGGACTTTTATTAATATTTTAATAAGGATAAAAAATCGCAAAATAACTTTTGTTTACTAAATTATTAAAATGTATGTTTGTCAAACTATGCAAACAAAATGGGATGGAAGGAGTATTTTTTTTTTTCTTGGTATCTTTGAGCTTTATCAAGTGTAAAGTGTTATATATCTCTATTTTTTTGCTACCTATATTAATTTATCACTAATAATTAACTTAGATAATTTATGAAAAAAAGAAGAGTTAAGATTATATTCAATATCTTATTTACTTTATATCTTTTTGGCAATTTAAGACATTTTCATTAGTGGAGCAACATAAAATTAAAAGTAAAAATTTCAATTTATTTATATTATTTTTTTATTCACAGTATCCCATGTTCTTCAGCTTGGGACTATTCTCATTTTGGAGTTCCTGAATGCTCCTTTCATGAGTGCATTACGTGAAGCATTTCTTCATAATTATTGTCCTTTTATTGAAATTGAAAAATACATGACAAAGGCATACATATCGCCTTAGACATCACAAATAGGAGGATTAATTTATTTGATTTACTGGAAACTTAAAAGATAGAACCCAAACTCCGGTGTATGGAAAGAGTTGCGGTTTTCCAATTACGGGGCATCTGGAATATAAAATTCTGCCTTATAGGTTCCATCGTCTTGTAAAACCATACCTTTATTCTCCTCAACCCACCATATAGGTGGTATATTGTAGTTATTTTCAGCATTCAAATCATCTCCCCTTTTGTTTATCAATGCAGTATCAAGAGGATACTCTAAATTGAACCCTCCTTTACTGCCTTGTGTTCCTGCTACTCCATGCAAGTAGACGTTCAAATCATGTGGATTAACATCACTAGTCTTTAAGAACGGTGACAGTGTAGTGTCAATGGGTAAGCTTTCTCCCACATGATAATAACGATGCTGAGGCATTAGAATTAATTCATTTGGTGGAAGTTTAGGAACTGGGTCGTTAGCATTTTCTACCCTTAAAACACGAACATCTGAGAGTTCATCAAATACCTTCTTGAATCCTTCGTTTCCTACCATAGGACAACCAAATACAATTGCTGTCACTGGAAAACTCTTGTTTGAAATTCCTGTTGGCTTGTTAATGCCTTTGTAAGCTATATCCACTGCGTTCAAGGTAGCAAGTGCTGATCCCAAGCTGTGGCCGGTTAGTGTTATACTCACTTCCTCATCTTTGTATTGATCAACCAATTTGCTCACTGCATCCAGAACCTGTATGCGTATAACCATTATAAGATTATGTATGGAAGAAATTTCCTTTTTTTTTTTTTATTCAGGGCATTCTTCAATTTTCATATGCACTGAAATTTTTATATTAGTGTATATTTTAAGTTTTCCTTGGAAACAAATGATAATAATAATATTTAATTTGCCGATAAAAAAATGTCAATTGTTGTATGTAAGAGTGAATTACCTGGTCCCTGGCACTTTTCTTGTTGTAAATGGACTTGTCGTCTTTTGTTGTATAGATGCTGCGAAAGCCAAAGTGGATAAGAGGATCATTGTTATTATTTGGAAATATATCTGAAGCTGAGACTGGTATAAATTCATAGTCTTCAAGCTTTTCTCCATCCAATGCGGTTTCTCTCCAAGAAACAACAATATCTCTTCTTCCAAGCTTCTTTTTTCCATCATCTGTGGCAACTGCCACATAAGCACACCAAGTGGACTCATTAATGACATTGTCGAACCACTGAGCCTCTAATCTTGAATAAATGAAATCAGTCACAGTATAATCGAATTCATTGCGAGCTCTTATACCCACTTTGGTGAAAACCTCATTTGGTGGATAACGGCTAAACCCATGCAAATCTTTAAACTTTCTGTAACTATTGTAGGCATCGCCAATAGCTACGGCTCTATCGCCATAGTTAAGAATAGAACTACGAAGGTCAAAGTCTAGAGGATCTAACAGACCCTCCCAGTTGTTCTCACCGCTCAGCTCCCTCCACCTATCTGCTATATTAGCAATCACGCTTAAACCTGTGCCTGCCATTTCTCTCCCTCTTTCTTTCTTAAAGCTGAAATACTAAATAACTTGATGAAGATTGTTTCATCTTCATGCTTTATATAGACTACACAATGCATGCATCAAACCACAACTTGAATAAAATACTTACCATATGCAAATCATGTGTGTTAATTATTGCTGCAAATAAATTGATTTATGGCTATTGTTATTATTAAAATATTCAATTCTTATCCTAGCAGAAGTGAAATATTAGTGTATTCTGGCAGCTTTGGACTATGTCTTGGTGGTGGAGCTACTTGGTAACCAAGGGCGGCCATGGACCCCCACTCCCACAAGCTCCCCAGGAAATTTTAAAATATATAAATATCCCTCGATTTTAATCTTTTTAATGAGTTTCTTTTAGTGATATTGTCTATAGTATGTATAAAATGTTAAATGATTAATTTATTTAAAAATTTTAAGAAATCAATCATCATTAATATTAAAGTTTATATATGAATTCAGTTTATATATATATAATGTTTAAAGAAAATCAAGTGCAATCATTAATATTAAAGTTTATATTGAATCAGTTTTATAATATTATATATATATATATTTATAAATATATATATATATAATAGGGCACTTAGCATTGTTTTGTGATCCGGAATCTCTCGTTCAAATTAAAATATATAATAATTTGATGAGAAGATTTTCCTTTTGTTAAAAAACTTTGTAATAGTATATTCTCTTTGTCCCAAAATATAAGTCCTTTAGATTTTTGCACAAAAATTTGAAGAAATAATTAATTCTCCTAGATTATAACAAAATTAGTAATCTTGATTAAATTATTTTTTATCTCAAATCCACCCGTTACTTGTAAAAAGTATTATATATATAGGCCACTTGCAATTGTTTTGTATCCGGAATCTCTCGTTCAAATTAAAATATATAATAATTTGATGAAGAAGATTTTCCTTTTGTTAAACTTGTAATAGTATATTCTCTTTGTCCCAAAATATAAGTCCTTTAAGATTTTTGCACAAAAATTGAAGAAATAATTAATTCTCCTAGATTATAACAAAATTAAGGATAATTTGACTAAATTATTTTTTATCTCAAAATCCACCGTTACTTGTAAAAGTATCTATTGTATTTAATATAAATAAGAGTAACATTAAAAAAACATCATTTATTACTCCTTAAATTACTCAAATCGACTTATATTTTGGGATAAAATAATCAATTAAAAAATAACTTATAATCAATTAATCGTTTTGAGTAATTTAAGATTTTTGCACAAGAATTAAAGAAGCAACTAATTCTCCTAGATTATAACAAAACTAAGGGTAAGTTGACTAAATTATCTTTTATCTCAAAATCCATCGTTACTTGTAAAAGTATTTATTGTATTTAATATAAATAAGATAACATAAAAAAAAAACATCACTTATTACTCTTTAAAATACTCAAAACAGACTTATATTTTGGGACAAAATCAATTAAAAAATAACTTATATTTTGGAACAGAGGGAGTAATTATTTGTGTTTGTCAAGTTTTTTCTTGGATTCTAACATAATGATAATAATAAACAGTCTCCCTTCATTCCATTTTATAATATCAATAAGTATTTACTTTGCTTCACTCTAAGTACTCGTTTAAGATTTTAAAAGTATATTAATAATAATTTTTTATTCAATTTTACCTAATATTTATTAGTGTAATTTTATATTTACATTTATTTTTTTTGCTCTTTTTTATCATTACTTTAACTATAGTTAAATTAATATTTTGACTAAACAGTTCATTATATCAAGGCATAAAAAAAAAAAAAAATTTGAATTCACGTTCAAACTTGCTAATCTCATTTTTTCCTCCCTTGTCTCTGTTTCTAATTTGAACAATAATTACTTTCTTCCCTATATATTCTACCTTCATCTCTCAAAATAGCTCTTCGGTGATGTTAACAGCATTTGAAAACCAGATCCAATAAAATTGAAGAAGGATTCTCCAAGGAAATTGAATTTACTTTCAAAACCTGTTAATCTCATTTCTTCTTCCTTCGTCTCTCAAGATTCTACCTTCCTCTCTCTCAAAATAGTTTTGTGGCCCGATTTTGACTTTACTAATATTTCATCATTCCCAAGTAATCCATGCTTAAAAAATTTTGGCCACCTTAATTCAAGTTGTCGGCCTATTCCTCTTTTGCGCTTCTTTGCCAAAAAAAGATTTGTGATGAATTTAGTAGGGTTCCCTTTTGCATGATTGTCA